AAAAAAGATAATTTACCATCCACAAGTTAAAAAACAAGTGATCAATATTACCATCAGTTATATTTGGGTGGTGGGAGTCCCAATTTTTTTCTCAACTATTCTTCTGTACTTGTAGTCCCTCTCCCCTCAGATTCTAACATCTAATAATTTCTCCCAATAGCAATGCTCTTACTATTGGAGTAACATGGCATTATATAAGTTTCAGGTGCTCACAAGTAAGAATCAACCTATGTATTTTCGACAGTCAGGTCATTTCTAACAGGCTCTTGGGCCTCCCTGGTGGCACAAGGGGTTAAGACACAGCCACTGCAGCACGAGTTCGATCCCCAGCCAGGGGGCTACCCACTTGGCACAGCAGACCTCTCCTGACTCACCCGCTGCTTCCCTCAGCAGTGTATTTTGCCAATCTGCCTGTTCTGCTCTCCACTCTGTCTCTGGTGAATCCTCTCACCCCCCCACACCTCTGGCCTGTACCCCAGTTCTCGTACGCATAAATAAATAAATCTTTAAAAATAAATAAATAAAATAAAAGCCTCTTATTATTTAACTTACTTACCTAAGAAGTTATTACAGCCAAATACTGGGCAAAACTGCTGGTTATAAGTAAATGTTCATAAATCATATGAAAATGGACACTTACTCTTCTTTAAGTCTCTTTTGAAGTTTGTCCTTTGAAAGTTTATTTTCACTGGTATTTTTCATTATATTTTTCCGAAACCGATTGTTCATCATCTCAACCCTTTAAAAAACATAACAGCATGCTTAAATGACTTTTAAAGAATCAACAAAAATAGTTATTGCTTTTAGTGTATTGAGAAAACATTTAACATAAAAATAGAAATCAAGATTTGTAAATTGTGTAACATCTTATAAATAGATTTTCCATTCTTCCTGAAGCAAAAAGAAGTATCCACTACTTCAGAGCATTCAGTTTACCCTTTGGGAAGCTAATAGTCAAACACATAATGACTTATCTCAACACAACTTCATGCCACTCACCAAAGTAATTTCTAGAAATCTCATATGTAGCATAACGAATATGAATAATAATACTGTACCGAATACTAGAAATTTGCTGAAAGAGTAGATTTCAAGTGTTCTCACCACACACAAAAAACGGTAACTATGTGAAACAAATATGTAGCAGTCATTTTACAGTGTGTGTGGGAGGGGACGTGCGTGCATGCGTGCGTGCGTGTCTCTCAAAGCATCATGCTGTGGATACCTTAAATGCTTTTATTAAAAAGTAAAATTTTATTAAAAAGTAAAAATTTTGGGGTCCTTATGGGAGAAGCTGCAAAAATCTAGTCTCAAGATGAGGAATTAGTACAAGGAAAATGGTGAACTGTGCAGATTCATAATTGGGAAAAGGAACAGTTAGGTGAGGTTAGCTTTGCTGGACTTTGAAGAATCATAGGCCCATAGTAGAGTAGCGTATAAGTCATTTGGAGGTTTCCATTTGTGTGCTGGAGTGAAAAGGACACCTTTCAATGGGAAGATAAATTAGAAAACCTCATGACTAGTCTAGTGGAATTTATCAAGAACCTTAAAAATGCCTGTGCTTTAAAGTAATTGTACTTCAAATAATCTTAATACTTAACAAAAGTGGGAAAAGGTTTAAACTGTCATTTAACCTCAAGAAATTCTGATACAGCTACAATTACACCCATTTCACAAATGAGAAAAGATTTCAAACTTGTCAAGCTGGCCAAATTAGAAAGCAAATTCAGGTCTGACACTAAATACAGCATTAAAAAAAAAAGAGGGAGAAGTATGGCAACATATTAACACTGATGTTCTCTCTTTGGTGGAACTGAGTGAGCTTTTCTTTCCATACTCCATTATTTTTCAAAACCACACAATTATATTCATAAAGAGAAGCCTTTAAAATCTGAAAAATAACTTTGAAAGCATCCAGGATCCTGGAAGATAAATTAGGCAACTTACATTTCCTCATCTTCGTCTTCCTCATCCACCCAAACTGGCTTCTTTTGAGATGGAAAATTATCTTTTGCTTCATTCTCCGCTTCTGAGTCATCCAAGACTTCCTGTACATGAACCTACAAAAGACAATACATTCTTCAAGCACTGAGTTTCATATCCCACAGGCGGACACATACACCTGGTCGTTTGCTGGCTTAGAGAATTATGTCTTTATAGTCCTCTGATGAAATAACGGGATGGAATGCTACCGCAGCCCATGCAGGGACAGAACAGTAAGTGAGACTGGATGATGGCACATGACAATGTAAGATAACACAGCCACGGAAAGAAAAATCCACATGCTGAAAGGAAAACCTGAATTAAGAGATGAACAGAAGGTAAGTCATTAGATGAAGGAGGAAGCAGGAAAAAAAACCCCAGACTACTGAAATGACTGGAGCAAAGGCAGGTAGGATCAAAGATAATCAAACATAGGGCCTCCCCAGTGGCGCAGCGGTTGAGCGCTGGGTTGCGAAGCTGCCCGCGGCCTCTGCAGCACCGGTTCGATCCCCGGCTGCTCCCCGGCCACTGGAGAAGGGTCCCACATGGCGCGCAGACCTCTCCTGCCGCCCGCTGCTCCCCTCAGCAGTGTACCTCGGTCCTTCTGTCTGCTCTGCTCCCCGCTCTGGCTCTGGTGAATTCTCTCACCCTCCCGCGCTTCTGACTGTACCCAGTGCATGTATAAACAAAACAAACAAACAAATAAATAAAGCATGCCTCTATCCAAAAAAAAAAAAAGATAATCAAACATAAAATACCACAATTACACATCCAAGTTCTTATCTCATATTCAGACATACCTCTTTCTCTATTTTTCTTAAGCTTTCTTTTTCTTACCCCCCCCCCCACCCTCAAGAAATGCTATACTCACTGTCAGATCTAAATCTAGGCCACACAATGGCTCCTGAAGTCAACTCAAGCTGTCCCAAAACAACACACAGATGGAAACCTCCAAATGACTTCTGCTTCTCTACTCTGGGCCTATGATTCTTTGAAGTCCCAGCAAAGCTGACCTCACCTAACTGTACCTTTTCCCAATTATGAATGTGGCACAGTTCACCATTTTCCTTGTACTAATTCCTCACCTCGAGACTAGATTTTTGCAGCTTCTTCCATAAGGACCAAAAAAAATATGGCAATGAGTTGATATTTGCTACTTTCTAGGTCCACATTCATTCACATTAACAAACTGAGTCGTCTCAGTGAAGCTTTGCTCAGCCACCCCATGTAAAGTTTCACAAGCCGTATCAACAGACTTGCCTTCCTCCCCATGCTTTTTTTTAACCCTCTTGAGCAGTTGTCATTGACACTTCAGTTTTACGAATAGCCTTAATTTTCCTTCTCTGTCACTAAGCTGCTCCAAGAGAGTAGGGATTGCTGTCAGTTTCAGTGCAATACTGTCTCTTACCAGCGCCTAGAGTAACGCCTGAATGCGCTATTTGGGAAGAAAAGTCGGGCACAGAATAAATTATATTTTTTTAAGTTGTGTGCAAAATTTATCACTAATCACGCAGGGTTTTCCCCACTGCCACGGAAACTATCTTGCACCCAACGGACTCAGTCAATCGTTCAAGAGTCAGAAACATGGTCATTCTCCAAAGTTGGCAAACACTTGAGGCGGCTAAAACGCAGATTCCCGGGCCCTCTCCACAATCTGATTTCTCAGAGGAGGAGCTCGGGAATCCCTGGGAAGTATGGAGGCGGTGACAGAACCACCCCGGGGGTTGGGGGGCGGGAATGGGACACTGAGTCCGGGGAGAGGCTAGTGGGGCTGAGCGGAGGGAGAAGCTCACCACAGCCGGTGAGGCACGCGCGTGGGGTGCAGCGGGCCCGGGGGCTCCCGCCCGGCGCACATTGGCCCCCCGCGCCCCCCACCTGAGCATCCCGGCCACGCGGCCCCCACCTGAGCTCCCCCCGACCCCCGCGTCCCCCCACCTGAGCTCCCCCCGGCCCCCGCGCCCCCGGGCCCTGCGCCCCCCCACCTGAGCGCCCCAGGCCCCGCGGCCCCCGCGCCCCCCACCTGAGCGCCCCCGGCCCCGCGGCCCCCGCGCCCCCCCACCTGAGCGCCCCCGACGCCGCAGGTCGCGCAGGCTCCGCCCCCGGAGCTCGCCGCCCACCGCGCCCCGCCCGCGCGCCCCGCCCGCGCCGCGGCCTCCCTCACCCGCGGGCCCCGCAGCCGCCGCAGCAGCGCGTCCTCGTCGTCCTCGACGTCGCCGAACACCAGCTCCTCCAGGCACCGCTCCACGGCCGGCCGGTCCTCCTCCAGCGCCAGGCGGTTCCGCCGCCGGAGCCGCCTCTCCTCCTCCGCCGCCGCGATGGCGCCCGCAGCGGGCGCAGCGCTCGGGGGCGCCGGCGGCTTCCGCGGGGAGGCAGGCGCCGTCTTTCGGGGCGGCCCTCCCGGCCTCGCCCCGTCTCTCCGGTCCCGCCTCGCGCCGGGTCTCCGATCCGCTTTCGTGCGGTTTCTCCGTTCCGGCGGCATCGTGGGGCTGGAGAAGAAACGCAGGCGCTCACGTGGAACCTCCTGCGCGTGCGCCCAGGCGCCGAGCCGCTCTCCGCAGCCGAGCCCCCGAGGGCCCGGAAGGAGCCTGCGCGGCCTGCGGCACGTGACCGGCCTGCCCGCCCCTACGTAACGCCCACTCCCCTCGCGAGCCCCTCCCCGCGGGGGAGTTCCGCCGGGAGGGCCGATCTTCCGGGTGTAGGGGGAAGCGGCGTGCCTGGAGTGGCAAGTCTTTTCCGCCACAGCTTAGCAGCTGCTACTTAACTGAAAGGAGCGCAGAGAAGCCAGAGCCCAAGCTGAGATGACTGAATGAAACTTCTTACTCCTCCCCCGGCCTTTTAATCGCTCGCCCTAGCGCGAGCCCCAGTTGCCTTTTCCACCCCGTCGTCTTGGTACGGCCCGTAGAGTACGGCGCCTGCGGAGGGTCCCACGCTGGACGAGGGAAAGGAGGGTATGTAGGGAAGTGGGCCAATCGGGGCGCGGGTCACGGCGCAGGCGCGCTGGGGAGGGAGGGCTATGCTAATGTTGTTGATATCCTGGGGCCACCCGAGTTAAAGGGGGGAAATCCGGGGGCTGCCGCAGCCGCCGCCGGTCTGGGCCCAACCGGGGCTCCCCTGTAGTCGCCGTAATCCCAGGGAGAGGCGCCAGCCCCCAGCTCGGGGAGGGGGCGCCGCGGGCCCGGGGAGCACGGACAGCCCCTACCCATGAGGCCCTGATGGAAAACACAAAGGATCTGGTGAGAGCCGAGCGCGGCAGCCGCTTTGTGTGCTAGGTGGGGGGGACGCCAGCAACTCCCCGACCCCAGGAGCCCTGCAGCTCCCTGACCCCGCTCTCAGGCCTGCTTCCCCATCCCACGCCCCCTCAAGCTCCGGAGCCCCCTCCCCCTACCGGCCGTTAAACGATTCAGGGGTTCCCCTCCCCCCACCCTTCACCCCCGGGCTGTCGGGGTTGTCTCTACTCCCTCCACTCTCTGGAAGAAAATTTTAGAAGAAAGTTTTTCTTTGCGTCCCGCCCCCCTCCCCTCTCGGCTCTGGCTGGGGGGGTTAGGCTGGATTTGAGACTTTCCCTTTTTTTTTTTTTTTTTTTTTTTTTTGGCCGCCCAGGGTGGGAAAGTAGAGCCCTCGCTACCCCCCACGCAGCAGGTATCGGGGGGCCCTGCAGGGGAAGGCGCCTGTCCGCTTCGGGGCCAGTGCCGCGGAGCATTTCGCACGTGGAGGTGGAAATATTGAAAGGGGGCGGGGTGGGCACGTGTGGGAGGGAGAGGTGGGAGTGGTGTTGGGGGAGCGGCCTAGGGCCGCTTTAATTACGTGGGTTCTAGGAGGGGGGGGGCGGGCTTCTGTGACAGTTGCGTTCTCGTTTGTGAGATAAGAATCCTGACGTTTCAGAGTCGGAAGAGACGTTAGAGGTCACCCAAAGCAGCCGTCCCCTCTGCAGCCTCTCTGAAAAGTGGTAGGTAGTCTGGCCTCTGCTGAAACCCCTCCAGGCTCCGAGTCGCTCCCTGCTGCTGCCCTTCCATCTTTTCAGTTCTACTAATTTGCTTACCCTCATTAGACCCTTCAGTCTCATTCATGTTCTCGTTAAGTTGCTCCCTTTTTTACTTCTCAAATTTTCTCTCACATCCTCCTCACCCACCCACCGCTCATTGGCCTATATTTTTTATGTGCCAAGTAAGAACAGCAGGGAAGTGCAGGAAGGAGGATCTGCGAGATAGTGAGGGCCAGCCGAAAACTTTGCTGGGTCATATGCTAGCTTATGAGAATGGTTGGTGTTTATCTACAGGAAGCTTGGGGATTAGGACCTGGGGATTTCATGGCTGTTTTCTCTTAGTGTATCTTTTTGGAGTTCGAAATTTCGGTATCATCTCTATATTCTCAAGCATATTTGCTTGTTGCTTTTAAATCACTTTCCCTAAGGATGCCTAAAATTGCCTCTTGGGGGTAGTACTGAAACTGTTAAAAAGCGTCTCCTGGCTGAGCGATAATTAGAACTGCTTCCCCACCTCCTCCTCTTACCCAATGTGTTCCTTGCAAATTGGTCTTCCTTCTCAGGGTCCCTCCTTCACAATGCTTTCATTTTTTCCCACAATTCTTAAGATATTTGAAATTTTGCAACAATATTTGCTTCGAGTTTGCAATATTTTTAATGTTCTTTGTATGCCCCAGAAATTTACACTCAGCCCTCCAGACACTTCATTTTCTTCCACTGTCACTTAGTGTTTTTCTAATGTTCTCTTTTACTTAGTGAGCAGTGTTGCCACAAAAAGTAGTTTTGTTGTCCTAAAAATTGAGGGGACACTTTTTTTCCTCTTCCTAATGTGATGAAGTGGGAGTCAAAATAAAGCAGATAAGATGTAGAAGTAATTAATTTGATACAGAAACCTAGGGAAGAAATTTCACTTCAAACTCCCAGTGCCCTGTCTAAAATGTTTTGGGACTAACATTTTTTTCCTCTCTCCTCCTTTATACTAAGAGATTGTTGTTCTGCTCTAGTGTGCTTTTTTTTTATTTGTTTACCTCAACACCAAAGAGTGTTTAGAAAGAAAATAGCTGTCTTTTTTTTTGCACCACCTCCTTCTCTGAATAACAAGTAGCTTCTATTTATATAGAACCCCATACTTGGGGCTTTTGAATGCCTTGCAAATTATGGCAAAAACTGTTTTGAATAAGTATCTGTTCATAAGTATCTTAGGTTGGGCCATATTTCTTAACTGTCCAGTTTTTTAATTTTATACAAACCTTGACATAGATTTCCTCAATATCTAGTCACTAGTATTTAACATGGAAATGAATATTAGATACAAAAAAAGTAATGGAGCTATATAATTCTGCTTTTAAAATTTTAATTAATATGGAGCCTACTTATTTTAAACATGAACTGTCATGACTTAAGCTCACTGACTTTGGAGACATTTGCATTCTAAACGTACTAGACAGGAACAACTGGTTTTATTTTTAAAGAAGACACTGCTCTATTTTTTTATGGCTGGCTGTATGTTGACCTGATTAGTGTCTATATCTTCTTTGATGTTCAAATGCTTCTAAATCCCTCAGTTACATTGGAAACTAAAACATAATTTAAGTTGTTATAAGATATAGTAGTCAAAAAAAGGTAAATCTATAGCTTAGAAGTGAAAACAGCTTATTAATGTCATCAATATCAACCGCTAAATTACTAAAGACCCAGAATGCTCAGTGGTTTGAGTGACCACATTCTAAAATTAGACTAGTCACTGCTTTTGCTGCTGCTGCTTTCTCAATTTTTTATCTTGAAAATGCTTACTAAATAAGATTTAAGGTTTTCACATTCATAATTTTAATGTAACCTGGCTAAAATGTAGTGTTAGTCTTAGGGTTTCAAATCCAAGAGAAAGATTAAAACATCAGGACAGTAGACCAGGAAGGACTTAAAGGGGTTAAGCTAAGATATGCCTCCTGCTGCCAGGGTATGCTTAACTATACTTTTAATTTTGATTAGTCCAAGCCCACTTTTAATTTTATTCAAAAAATGCTGGTTGGTTTTGATTTTTTTAAAACATGATTTTTTTTTAAATAAACTTACAGGATTCCCCACACACACACACACAAATTTAGATTTACTCTTCTTGTTTTGCTGGAACCCTTAAGAAAGGATGGAAGAAAAAATAATTCCCATTTTAATGAACCCTAAATTTGAGATGGAATGAAATAATCAGAGGGCCCCTGCCATTCTAGGTTACAGTATTAGTTTTGCCACTAACTTTATAGTGCTTGTTGGATAATACTCTGCTACCTCAGTTTTCTCATTTTCATAGTTAAGGATTGGTCTAGAGTCAACATTCTCCAATAGAACTTTCCATAGTGATGAAAATATCCTGTGCTACTAGCTATACGTGGCTAATGAGCACTTATCTAAAGGTAGCTAGCACAAGTGAGAAACCCCAAGTTTACTTTGATCTGTATGAATTTAAATCTTCACATATCTGTCAGTTGCATTTGTAGCTATAGAATAGTGTCATAGACATAGAACAGGCTTAGTCACTAGGCTCATCTTTTAGGGATCTTAAATGCAGATCTTCTCTCCTGGAGATTATTTAGCAGGTCTATAGTGAGGCCTGGGAATCTTATGTTTTTAACACCCCAGAAAGTTTTTTGTTGGTTTTTTTTTTTAATCAGTTTGGCTAGGGAAACCCTGCATCAGAAGATTTCTAAGCTCCTTTCTAGTTCTTACTTTAGTACTGATGACTTAGAGTAAGTTGTGGGTGAAGCTGGTAAACTAGTCAGACTCTGGCTATGCCATCTTCTGACCTGTGATCTTAGACAAGTTGCCTAACCTCTTACAGCTCCATTTTCCTTGTCTAAAATATGGGCCAGGCATCATCCCTGCCTCCCTCAGAGGTTTCTGTAAATCTCTAATCAGATGTCATAACCATTGTATAAAATGCAAGCTGCTATAAATGATCTTCCCAGAATCCTCTTTTCTTTTTCCCTTTTCACTGCATTACAGTTCTTACAGAACTGGTGCTCTACAACGCATCAGTTTAGTAATTTCTTGTTGCCTAAATGATTTGACCATAATTTCCAGTCTGGTTGTGTAGAATATGCACATAAATACTTTGTATTTCTGGTGCTTTGCATAGTGATATGTATGTGTTGTTCAATAAATATTGGATAATAACATCTATCACTTTAAGGTCTCAAGACTTTAACTAGTTTCACATTATTTTATACACCAAAGAAGTAAATCCTTTGTGTTGTACATATATGTGTTTAACTTTGTTTTGTGTCATTATTAATACCCTGTGTTTACTCTCCAGTTATGTACAGCTTTTGAGCAACCACCTCCAAATATATTTTTGAAAGCTAAACACCAGGTTGTATCAAATCATTGTTGTGCAGAATAACATGTTTAACTTAATTTCACTATATTAACATATTAATAAAAGTTCTCATTTGATTGCTCAAGCTAATTTTCACTACAGTCCCAGCCTTACAGTGATTCTGTTTTTTGTTATAGAACCAATAGCCAATAATGATCTTAAAGAGCCTCTAGGCGACTGTTTGTTTCAGACTTTATTTTGACATGGTCATCTTATTTTTAATTAGCTTTTCAGGTTCATACTTAAGGATTCATAGCTTTCTTCTGAAGAACTGACAGCCCATTCATGTGAATTATTTTACTTTATCATTCATCCTTCCTGTGTGGTAAGTGGTGTTTTCCTTATTTAGAAAGAGAGACACTAAGATCCAAGAAATTTTTACATACAAAGTTATGAGTAATAGAACCAAAATTTGAATCCAAATTAGAAATTTTATTTCTTACAGCTGGAAGAATACCTTCCTTTGCTTATTGTTGCTTTAAATCTTAGAATTTGTTGTGTAGCATAATGTCATATTGTTTGCTGGGTACTTTTCAGTTTCTCAAGGCAACTTATTCATGTTATTACTGCTTTCAGTTTCCTCTTGATTGCATCATTGGCAAGAATGTATTCTTTCACATTGAACTTGGGAGAAACAAACCAAATACGTTCAAATCCTTACCCTTTATTTTCCTCCTTTCAGTAAGCTTAGGAAGAATGAAGACTTTTCTGTTTAAACCAGTGAATTGTATCACTAGGCCAAACTGTACCTTCCATCCTGGTAGTAAGGAAGAAACCAATAAAAGCTAAACAGCTGTCTGGTTCTTACTGACTTCAGTCATCATAGAATATCTGTTAATCCTTTCTTTTGAACTTTGTGAGTTTACACAACTTTCAAATTTGAGGTTTTAGAAAACTTACATTCTGTGACTTTGAAAACAATGGACTATTGGTTTGGATGACAAAGAGTGGGTTAACTTTTGATGAGTTTATTCATATTGAAAATATAGTGTTACTTGGTTGCATGTTTATATATACTTGCATTTTAGAATTTCTGTATCTCTGTTTTCTGTAAAATTTCTCCTGGAACTTTTGGTTAATTATAATAAGTTAATGGTAATATCTTTTAATTCCTTTAGCAATATAAGGAAGAAAGTTCATTCCTATAATATTAAATTGTGATTTGTGATTCCTTCTTAACATTGTTCACTATAAAAACCCTTTGTCTTATTTTTCATTACCAAAGTTTTGCACATTTACTATTTAAAAAAAGATAATACATAATACAAAGAAGTTAAAATCATTCTCCCATCTCATTCTCACCTTGTTGATAGCTTAGCTATTCTTTCTAGGATCTTTATAAATGCACATGTAAACAAATACAGATCTCTATCAGTCTGGGCATATGACAGCATGTATTGTTTTTCTTAAGAAGAAGTGAGTAATTCTTAAGAAAACAATTTACATTTTTCACTCAGTATTTTGCTAATTGGTAATCATCCTACCAATGACTAGATTGTATCCAGTTTTTGACTATTATATTATTGCTGGGGAAAAAATCATTCTGCATAGGTTCTTGTGTCCTGTGAGTATTTCTGAAGGATAGATTCCTAAA